TTGAGAGTACAAGTAACAGGCCGACACCTACATGTACATCATTGAGAGTACAAGAAACAGGTCGACACCTACACATACGTCATTGAGAGTACAAGTAACAGGGCAACACATACACATACGTCATTGAGAGTACAAGTAACAGGGCAACACATACACATACGTCATTGAGAGTACAAGAAACAGGTTGACACCTACACATACATCATTGAGAGTACAAGTAACATATCGACACCTACATGTACATCATTGAGAGTACAGGTAACAGGACAACACCTACACATACATCATTGAGAGTACAAGTAACAGATCGCCACCTACATGTACATCATTGAGAGTACAGGTTGAGAGTACAAGTAACAGGTCGACACCTACATATACGTCATTGAGATTACAAGTAACAGGTCGACACCTACACATACGTCATTGAGAGTACAGGTAACAGGTCGACACCTACACATACATCATTGAGATTACAAGTAACAGGTCGACACCTACACATACGTCATTGAGAGTACAAGTAACAGGTCGCCTACATGTACATCATTGAGAGTACAAGTAACAGGTGGAAACAAACACATAAGTCATTGAGAGTACAAGTAACAGGTCGACACAAACATCTACATCATTGAGAGAACAAGTAACCGGTCGACAAAAACATGTACATCATTGAGAGTGCAAGTAACAGGTCGACACGTACACATACGTCATTGAGAGTACAAGTAACAGTACAAGTAACAGGTCGACACCTACATGTACATCCTTGAGAGTACATGTAACAGGACAACACCTACACATACGTCATTGAGAGGACAAGAAACAGGTTGACACCTACACATACATCATTGAGAGTACAAGTAACTACACATACATCATTGAGAGTACAAGTAACAGATCGACACCTACATGTACATCATTGAACAGCTACACATACGTCATTGACAGTACAAGTAACAGGTCGACACCTACACATACGTCATTGAGAGTACAAGTAACAGGTCAACACATACACATACGTCATTGAGAGTACAAGTAACAGGTTGACACGTACACATACGTCATTGAGAGTACAAGTAACAGGTCGACACAAACATGTACATCATTGAGAGAACAAGTAACCGGTCGACAAAAACATGTACATCATTGAGAGTGCAAGTAACAGGTCGACACGTACACATACGTCATTGAGAGTACAAGTAACAGGTCGACACAAACATGTACATCATTGAGAGAACAAGTAACAGGTCGACAAAAACATGTACGTCATTGAGAGTACAAGTAACTGGTCGACACCTACACATACGTCATTGAGAGTACAAGTAACAGGTCAACACCTACAAATACATCATTGAGAGAAACATGTACATCATTGAGAGTATACAAGTAACATACATCATTGAGAGTACAAGTAACAGATCGACACCTACATGTACATCATTGAGAGTACAGGTAACAGGTTGACAGCTACACATACGTCATTGGGAGTACAAGTAACAGGAACAGGTCGAAACCTACATGTACATCATTGAGAGTACAAGTAACAGGTCAACACCTACACATACATCATTGAGAGTACAAGTAACAGGTTGACAGCTACACATACGTCATTGAGAGTACAAGTAACCGGACAACACAAACATGTACATCATTGAGAGTATACAAGTAACAGGTCGAAACCTACATGTACATCATTGAGAGTACAAGTAACAGGTCGACACCTCCACATACATCATTGAGAGTACCAGTAACAGGTCGACACCTACATGTACATCATTGAGAGTACAAGTAACAGGGCGACACCTTCACATACATCATTGAGAGTACAAGTAACAGGACGACACCTACATGTACATCATTGAGAGTACAGGTAACAGGACAACACCTACACATACGTCATTGAGAGTACAAGTAACAGGTCGACACCTCCATGTACATCATTGAGAGTACAAGTAACAGGTCGACACCTTCACATACATCATTGAGAGTACAAGTAACAGGACAACACATACATGCACGTCATTGAGAGTACAAGTAACAGGTCGACACCTACACATACATCATTGAGAGAACAAGTAACAGGTTGACAAAAACATGTACATCAATTGAGAGTACAAGTAACAGGACAACACATACATGCACGTCATTGAGACTACAAGTAACAGGTCGACACCTACACATACAGCATTGAGAGTACAAGTAACAGATCGACACCTACATGTACATAATTGAGAGTACAGGTTGAGAGTACAAGTAACAGGTCGACACCTACCCATACATCATTGAGAGTACAAGTAACAGGTCGACACCTACACATACATCATTGAGAGTACAAGTAACAGATCGACACCTACATGTACATCATTGAGAGTACAGGTAACAGGACGACACCTACACATACATCATTGAGAGTACAAGTAACAGGTCGACACATACACATACATCATTGAGAGAACAAGTAACAGGTCGACAAAAACATCTACGTCATTGAGAGTACAAGTAACAGGGCGACACCTACACATACGTCATTGAGAGTACAAGTAACAGGCCGACACTTACACATACGTCATTGAGAGTACAAGTAACAGGACGACACCTACACATACATCATTGAGAGTACAAGTAACAGGTCGAAACCTACACATACATCATTGAGAGTACAAGTAACAGGTCAACACATACACATACGTCATTGAGAGTACAAGTAACAGGGCAACGCATACATGTACATCATTGAGAGTACAAGTAACAGGGCGACACCTACACATACGTCATTGAGAGTACAAGTAACAGGTCAACACATACATGTACATCATTGAGAGTACAAGTAACAGGTCGACACGTACACATACCTCATTGAGAGTACAAGTAACAGGTCGACACAAACATGTACATCATTGAGAGTACAAGTAACAGGGCGACACGTACACATACCTCATTGAGAGTACAAGTACAGGTCGACACAAACATGTACATCATTGAGAGTACAAGTAACCTACATGTACATCATTGAGAGTACAAGTAACAGGTCGACACCTACACATACATCATTGAGAGTACAAGTAACAGGTCGAAACAAACGCATACGTCATTGAGAGTACAGGTAACAGGTCGACACAACACAAACATGTACATCATTGAGAGTACAAGTAACAGGTCGACACCTCCACATACGTCATTGAGAGTACAAGTAACAGGTCAACACCTACACATACATCATTGAGAGTACAAGTAACAGGTCGACACATACACATACGTCATTGAGAGTACAAGTAACCGGACAACACAAAAACATACATCATTGAGAGTACAAGTAACAGATCGACACATACATGTACATCATTGAGAGTACAAGTAACAGGTTGACAAAAACATGTACATCATTGAGAGTACAAGCAACAGGTCGACACCTACATATACATCATTGAGAGTACAAGCAACAGGTCGACACCTACATGAACATCATTGAGAGTACAAGCAACAGGTCGACACCTACATATACATCATTGAGAGTACACGTAACAGGTCGACACCTACACATATGTCATTGAGAGTACAAGTAACGGGTCGACACCTACACATATGTCATTGAGAGTATAGGTAACAGGTCAACACCTACACAAACATCATTGAGAGTACAAGAGTACAAGTAACAGGTCAACACAAACATGTACATCATTGAGAGTACAAGTAACAGGTCGACACCTACACATATGTCATTGAGAGTACAGGTAACAGGTCAACACCTACACATACATCATTGAGAGTACAAGTAACAGGACGACACATACACATACGTCATTGAGAGTACAAGTAACAGGTCAACACCTACACATACGTCGTTGAGAGTACAAGTAACAGGTCAACACCTACACGTACATCATTGAGAGTACAAGTAACAGGTCAACCCCTTCACATTCGTCATTGAGAGTACAAGTAACAGGTCGACACCCACATGTACATCATTGAGAGTACAAGTAACAGAACAACACAAACACATACGTCATTGAGAGTACAAGTAACTGGTCGACACATACATGTACATCATTGTAGCTCTCCTGGTGGTGGATGGCATTAAAAGCATCCCATGATGTAACAATTTACAGGCAGGTCGACACAAACACATACGTCATTGAGAGTACAAGTAACTGGTCGACACATACATGTACATCATTGTAGCTCTCCTGGTGTTGGATGGCATTAAAAGCATCCCATGATGTAACAATTTACAGGCAGGTCGACACAAACACATACGTCATTGAGAGTACGAGTAACAGGCCGACACATACATGTACATCATTGTAGCTCTCCTGGTGTTGGATGGCATTAAAAGCATCCCATGATGTAACAATTTACAGGCAGGTCGACACAAACACATACGTCATTGAGAGTACGAGTAACAGGCCGACACATACATGTACATCATTGTAGCTCTCCTGGTGGTGGATGGCATTAAAAGCATCCCATGATGTAACAATTTACAGGCAGGTCGACACAAACACATACGTCATTGAGAGTACGAGTAACAGGCCGACACATACATGTACATCATTGTAGCTCTCCTGGTGGTGGATGGCATTAAAAGCATCCCATGATGTAACAATTTACAGGCAGGTCGACACAAACACATACGTCATTGAGAGTACGAGTAACAGGCCGACACATACATGTACATCATTGTAGCTCTCCTGGTGGTGGATGGCATTAAAAGCATCCCATGATGTAACAATTTACAGGCAGGTCGACACAAACACATACGTCATTGAGAGTACAAGTAACAGGTCGACACATACATGTACATCATTGTAGCTCTCCTGGTGTTGGATGGCATTAAAAGCATCCCATGATGTAACAATTTACAGGAAATAAATGTCACACACTCATCACGATCTGTTCAATACAACATAACAATGCTTTTACTACATAATCACTGTTTAGTACATCATGGAATGTAACAACACTATAACTCTCGTTCCAGCTGACAGTGAAGGTTGTATCAAACCTACCTTTTTATCTCCTCCCCCAGGCCTATGGGTAACATTGTCTTTGGAACCAACTTTTGATGAAGCCTTTTCCTTGAAATCTAGCTTCTTTGTTTCAATCTGAGGAGAAAGATATACAATTGTATTATATATCACTGCACAGATACTGTTGCGGCAAGATTGAGGTAGGATATCCTAAATACTGAATATGAGGATTGAGGTAGGATATCCTAAATACAGAATATGAGGATTGAGGTAGGATATCCTAAATACTGGATAAAAAGATTGAGGTAGGATATCCTAAATACTGAATATGAGGATTGAGGTAGGATATCCTAAATACTGGATAAAAAGATTGAGGGAGGATATCCTAAATACTGAATATGAGGATTGAGGTGGGATATCCTAAATACTGGATAAAAAGATTGAGGTAGGATATCCTAAATACTGAATATGAGGATTGAGGTAGGATATCCTAAATACTGGATAAAAAGATTGAGGGAGGATATCCTAAATGTATTAGATATGAAGATTGAGATAGGATATCCTAAATATTGGATATTAAGATTGAGGTAGGATATCCTAAATACTGTATATGAGGATTGAAGTAGGATTTCCTAAATACTGTACATGAGGATTGAGGTGGGATATCCTAAATACTGGATATTAAGATTGAGGTAGGATATCCTAAATACTGTATATGAGGATTGAGGTAGAATATCCTAAATACTTGATAAAAAGATTGAGGTAGGATATCCTAAATGTATTAGATATGAAGATGGAGATAGGATATCCTAAATACTGGAAATGAAGATTTAGACGGGATCACCTAAATACTGGATATGAAGAGTGAGGTAGGATATCTCCTTAATACTGGAAATGAAGATTTAGACAGGATCACCTAAATACTGGATATTAAGATTGAGGTAGGATATCCGAAATACTGGATATTAAGATTAAGGTTGGATATCCTTAGTACTGTTTATGAAGATTGAGGTAGGATATCCTAAATACTGAATATGAGAATTCAGGTAGGATATCCCAAATACTGTATATGAAGATTGAGGTGGGATATCCTAAATACTGGAAATGAACATTTAGACAGGATCACCTAAATTCTGGATACTAAGATTGAGGTAGAATATCCTTAATACTGGAAATGAAGATTTAGATAGGATAACCTAAATACTGGATATGAAGATTGAGGTAGGATTTCCTAAATACTGAATATGAGAATTTAGGTAGGATATCCCAAATACTGTATATGAAGATTGAGGTAGGATATCCTTAATACTGGAAATGAAGATTTAGAAAGGATCACCTAAATACTGGATATGAAGGTTGAGGTAGGATTTCCTAAATACTGAATATGAAGATTGAGGTACGATTTCCTAAATACTGAATATGAAGATTGAGCTAGGATTTCCTAAATACTGAATATGAAGATTGAGGTACGATTTCCTAAATACTGAATATGAAGATTGAGGTAGGATTTCCTAAATACTGAATATGAAGATTGAGGTGGGATATCCTAAATTCTGCATATGAGGATTGAGGTGGGATATCCTAAATACTGGATATGAAGATTGAGGTAGGATATCCTTAGTACTGTTTATGAAGATTGAGGTAGGATATCCTAAATACTGAATATGAGAATTGAGGTAGGATATCCCAAATACTGGATATGAAGATTGAGGTAGGATATCCTAAATACTGCATATGAGGATTGAGGTGGGATATCCTAAATACTGTATATGAAGATTGAGGTAGATATCCTAAAGACTGGATATGAAGATTGAGGTAGGATTTCCTCAATACTGAATATAAAGATTGAGGTAGGGGGTCCTAAATACTTCATATGAGGATTGAGGTGGCATATCCTAAAGACTGGATATGAAGATTGAGGTAGGATATCCTAAATACTGGAAATTAACATTTAGATAGGATCACCTAAATACTGGATATGAAGATTGAGGTAGGATTTCCTCAATACTGAATATAAAGATTGAGGTAGGATATCCTAAATACTTCATATGAGGATTGAGGTGGCATATCCTAAAGACTGGATATGAAGATTGAGGTAGGATATCCTAAATACTGGATATGAAGATTGAGGTAGGATATCCTTAATACTGGAAATGAAGATTTAGATAGGATCACCTAAATACTGGATATGAAGATTGAGGTGGGACATCCTAAATACTGGATATGAAGATTAAGGTAGGATATCCTTAGTACTGTTTATGAAGATTGAGGTAGGATATCCTAAATACTGAATATGATAATTGAGGTGGTATATCCTAAATACTGAATATAAAGATTGAGGTAGGATATCCTAAATATGCATATGAGGATTGAGGTGAGATATCCTAAATACTGTATATGAAGATTGAGGTAGATATCCTAAAGACTGGATATGAAGATTGAGGTAGGATATCCTAAATACTGGAAATGAAGATTTAGACAGGATCACCTAAATACTGGATATTGGGATTGAGGTAGGATTTCCTAAATACTGAATATAAAGATTGAGGTAGGATATCCTAAATACTGTATATGAGGATTGAGGTGGGATATCCTAAATACTTCATATGAAGATTGAGGTAGATATCCTAAATACTTTTTATGAAGATTGAGGTAGGATATCCTAAATACTGGATATGAGGATTGAGGTGGGATATCCTTAATACTGGATATTAAGATTGAGGTAGGATTTCATAAATACTGAATATAAAGATTGAGGTAGGATATCCTAAATACTGTATATGAAGATTGAGGTAGGATATCCTAAATACTGCATATGAGGATTGAGATGGAATACCCTAAATACTGGATATGAAGATTGAGGTAGGATATCCTTAATACTGGAAATGAAGATTTAGATAGGATCACCTAAATACTGAATATGACGATTGAGGTAGGATTTCCTAAATACTGAATATGAAGATTGAGTTAGGATATCCTAAATACTGCATATGAGGATTGAGGTGGGATATCCTAAAGACTGGATATGAAGATTGAGGTAGGATATTCTAAATACTGGAAATGAAGATTTAGACAGGATCACCTAAATACTGGATATTAAGATTGAGGTAGAATATCCTAAATACTGTATATGAAGATTGAGGTGGGATATCCTCAATACTGCATATGAGGATTGAGGTGGGATATCCTTAATACTGGAAATGAAGATTTAGATAGGATCACCTTAATACTGGATATGTAGATTGAGGTAGGATATCCTGAATACTGAATATGAAGATTGAGGTAGGATATCCTAAACACTGCATATGAGGATTGAGGGGGGATATCCTAAATACTGGCAATGAAGATTTAGACAGGATCACCTAAATACTGGATAAAAAGATTGAGGTAGGATAACCTAAATACTGGATAAAAAGATTGAGGTAGGACATCCTTAATACTGGAACTGCAGATTTAGATAGGATCACCTTAATACTGGATATGTAGATTTAGGTAGGATATCCTGAATTCTGAATATGAAGATTGAGTTAGGATATCCTAAATACTGTACATGAAGATTGAGGTGGGATTTCCTAAATACTGAATATGAGAATTGAGGTAGGATATCCTAAATACTGGAAATGAAGATTTAGACAGTATCACCTAAATACTGGATATTAAGATTGAGGTAGAATATCCTAAATACTGTATATGAAGATTGAGGTGGGATATCCTCAATACTGTATATGAGGATTGAGGTGGGATATCCTAAATACTGGATATGTGGATTGAGGTGGGATATCCTAAATACTGGAAATGAAGATTTAGACAGTATCACCTAAATACTGGATATTAAGATTGAGGTAGGATATTCTAAATACTGCATATGAGGATTGAGGTGGGATATCCTAAATACTGGATATGTGGATTGAGGTGGGATATCCGATATGAAGATTGAGGTAGGATATCCTTAATATTGGAAATGAAGATTTAGATAGGATCACCTTAATACTGCATATGAAGATTGAGGTAGGATATCCTTAATATTGGAAATGAAGATTTAGATAGGATCACCTAAATACTGGATATGAAGATTGAGGTAGGATATCCTTAATACTAGAAATGAAGATTTAGATAGGATCACCTTAATACTGCATATGAAGATTGAGGTAGGATATCCTTAATATTGGAAATGAAGATTTAGATAGGATCATCTAAATACTGGATATGAAGATTGAGGTAGGATTTCCTAAATACTGAATATGAAGATTGAGTTAGGATATCCTAAATACTGCATATGAGGATTGAGGTGGGATATCCTAAATACTGGCCATGAGGATTGAGGTAGGATTTCCTAAATAATGAATATGAAGATTGAGGTAGGATATCCTACATACTGCATATGAAGATTGAGGTAGGATATCCTTAATACTGGATATAAAGGTTGAGGTAGAATATATTTAATATTGGATATTAAGATTAAGGTTGGATATCCTTAGATCTGTTTATGAAGATTGAGGTGGGATATCCTAAATACTGGAAATGAACATTTAGATAGGATCACCTAAATTCTGGATATTAAGATTGAGGTAGAATATCTTAAATATTGGATATTAAGATTGAGGTAGGATCACCTAAATATTGGATATGAGGATTGAGGTGAGATATCCTAAATACTGTATATGAAAATTGAGGTAGGATATCCTAAATACTGGATATGAGGATTGAGATAGGATATTCTTAATATTGATACGAAGATTGTGGTAGAATATCCTAACTACTGTATATAAAGATTTAAGTAGGATGAAGTATTGGACGTCAGAGAGCACCCAAGGAGTACCTTCTTGTCCCCTCCGCCCGCTTTATGATCCATGTTATCTTTAGATCCCACCTTGGATATAGCCTTTCCTTTAAAGTCTAGCTTGGCAGTCTCAATCTGAAACGTAAATCACACATAAAACTACTTCACAGTTCTTAATGATATATCTCTTATGAGAATGAATATCAGTTCATATCAATAACAGTTTCTTATTTTCGTGCTAAAGATGAAGAAGCAAATTCTGATGTGGATACCCTATATAAAGGTATGTGGAAACCCTATATAAAGGGATTAGGATACCCTATATAAAAGGATGATGATACCCATATAAAGGGATTAGGATACCCTATATAAAAGGATGATGATACCCATATAAAGGGATTAGGATACCTTATATAAAGGGATTAGGATACCTTATATAAAGGGGTTAGGATACCCTATATAAAGGGATGTGGATACCCATATAAAGGGATTAGGATACCCTATATAAAGGGATGTGGATACCCTATATAAAGGGGTTAGGATACCCTATATTAAGGGAAGTTAATACCCTATATAAAGGGATGTGGAAACCCTATATAAAGGGATGTGGAAACCCTATATAAAAGGATGATGATACCCATATAAAGGGATTGGGATACCCTATATAAAGGGGTTAGGATACCCTATATAAAGGGATGTGGATACCCATAGAAAGGGATTAGGATACCCTATATAAAGGGGTTAGGTAGGTCTATAATCTGTGGTAGGATACCCTATATAAAGGGATGTGGAAACCCTATATAAAAGGATGATGATACCCATATAAAGGGATTAGGATACCCTATATAAAGGGGTTAGGATACCCTATATAAAGGGATGTGGATACCCTATATAAAGGGATGTGGATACCCTATATAAAGGGGTTAGGCTCCCTATATAAAGGGATGTGGATACCCTATATAAAGGGATGTGGAAACCCTATATAAAAGGATGATGATACCCATATAAAGGGATTAGGATACCCTATATAAAGGGGTTAGGATACCCTATATAAAGGGATGTGTATACCCTATATAAAGGGATGTGGATACCCTATATAAAAGGATGTGGATACCCTATATAAAGGGGTTAGGCTCCCTATATAAAGGGATGTGGATACCCTATATAAAGGGGTTAGGCTCCCTATATAAAGGGATGTGGATACCCTATATAAAGGGATGTGGATACCCTATATAAAGGGATGTGGATACCCTATATAAAGGGATGTGGATACCCTATATAAAGGGATGTGGATACCCTATATAAAGGGATGTGGATACCCTATATAAAGGGATGTGGATACCCTATATAAAGGGATGTGGATACCCTATATAAAGGGATGTGGATACCCTATATAAAGGGATGTGGATACCCTATATAAAGGGATGTGGATACCCTATATAAAGGGATGTGGATACCCTATATAAAGGGATGTGGATACCCTATATAAAGGGATGTGGATACCCTATATAAAGGGATGTGGATACCCTATATAAAGGGATGTGGATACCCTATATAAAGGGATGTGGATACCCTATATAAAGGGATGTGGATACCCTATATAAAGGGATGTGGATACCCTATATAAAGGGATGTGGATACCCTATATAAAGGGATGTGGATACCCTATATAAAGGGGTTAGGCTCCCTATATAAAGGGATGTGGATACCCTATATAAAGGGATGTGGATACCCTATATAAAGGGATGTGGATACCTATATAAAGGGATGTGGATACCCATATAAAGGGATTAGGTTTCCCTATATAAAGGGGTTAGGCTCCCTATATTAAGGGAAGTGGATACCCTATATTAAGGGAAGTGGATACCCAATAAAAAAGGAGACTTATTTCTAATAGTTTGTATTTTCAGAAATTGAATTTAACAACATGTCTCTGTTGTCATGTAAGCAAATATAGCATGCTATTCTGATAGTTTAATAATGTTAAACCTTAGACAAACGTTACCATCAATCAGTGAACCTTGTGAATATTAGCAGGAACAAAAAGGATCCAGGCAACAATGAGAAATGTACTTGTCCACCAAAATATGTAGAGTCCTATAGATATACCTAGTTATTTGTTGTTGAAGCCAAACATTTGAGAATTAACTGATAAATTAAGTCACCAAGTATGGAAACAGTATTTTATTATTAGAAAGTTTTTCTTCTTCACAGTTATCTCCCCTAGTACAACTCAGTGTGAAGTTTTTACACTTTTATCTCATTGATACCCACGCTTCAAAAAAGTCTAACTACTTTGTATATGTTCCTACACTATACACATATATTCTGGATTAAGAACAAAACAACACCAACGATGATCAAACTTAGTGATTAAGCTAAGCTGATTATTAAGCACTGCTATCTGAAAAATTGAATATAAGAAAGATACATTAAATCAAAGTAAACAGACATGTTTAATAACAAGTATGGTTTTAGTTCTCAGCGTTTTTTGTCTTCTTAAAATCAGTAATGAATATGAAAATATGATGTTATGTGATTAAAAAATTATTTCACTACAAACAAGGAACATAAATCACTTCTCTTCATCCAACAACTGGTAATACAGAAATTATAAACCAGACATTCAGTAACTAGGTCTATAATCTGTGGTAATACAGAAATTATAAACCACAAATAAAGTTACTAGGTCCATAATCTGTGGTAATACAGAAATTATAAACCTGCCATACAGTAACTAGGTCTATAATCTGTGGTAATACAGAAATTATAAACCAGCCATATTGTAACTAGGTCTAGATCTATAATCTGTTGTAATACAGAAATTTTAAACCAGACAAACAGTAACTAGGTCTATAATCAGTGGTAATACAGAAATTTTAAACCAGACATAAAGTTACTAGGTCTATAATCAGTGGTAATACAGATATTATAAACTAGCCATACTGTAACTAGGTCTATAATCAGTGGTAATACAGAAATGATAAACTAGCCATACAGTAATTAGGTCTATAATCTGTGGTAATACAGAAATTATAAACCTGCCATACAGTAACTAGGTCTATAATCAGTGGTAATACAGATATTATCAATTAGCCATACTGTAACTAGGTCTTTGAATAGTGGTAATACAGAAATTGTAAACTAGCCATACTGTAACTAGGTCTATAATCTGTGGTAATACAGAAATTATAAACCAGACATACAGTAACTAGGTGTATAATCTGTGTGAATACAGAAATTATAAACTTGCCATACAGTAACTAGGTCTATAATCTGTGGTAAAACAGATATTATAAACCAGACATACAGTAACTAGGTCTATAATCTGTGGTAATACAGAAATTATAAACCTGCCATACAGTAACTAGGTCAATAATATGTGGTAATACAGATATTATAAACCAGACAAACAGTAACTAGGTCTATAATCTGTGGTAATACAGAAATTATAAACTAGCCATACAGTAACTAGGTCTATAATCTGTGTTAATACAGAAATTATAAACCTGCCATACAGTAACTAGGTCTATAGTCTGTGGTAATACAGATATTATAAACCAGACAAACAGTACCTAGGTCTATAATCTGTTGTAATACAGAAATTATAAACCAGACATACAGAAACTAGGTCAATAATCAGTGGTAATACAGATATTAAAAACTAGCCATACTGTAACTAGGTCTATAATCTGTGGTAATACAGAAATTATAAACTAGCCATACAGTAACTAGGTCTATAATCTGTGGTAATACAGAAATTAAAAACTAGCCATACTGTAACTAGGTCTATAATCTATGGTAATACAGAAATTATAACCCTGCCATACAGTAACTAGGTCTATAGTCTGTGGTAATACAGATATGAGAAACAAGACAAACAGTAATTAGGTCTATAATCTGTGGTAGGACAGAAATTAAAAACTAGTCATACAGTAATTAGGTCTATAATCTGTGGTAGGACAGAAATTAAAAACTAGTCATACTGAAACACAGTCTATAATCTGTGGTAATAAAGAAATTATAAACTTGCCATACAGTAACTAGGTCTATAATCTGTGGTAATACAGATATTATAAACCAGACAAACAGTAACTAGGTCTATAATCTGTGGTAATACAGATATTATAAACTAGCCATACTGTAACTAGGTCTATAATCTGTGGTAATACAGAAATTAAAAACTAGTCATACAGTAACTAGGTCTATAATCTGTGGTAATACAGAAATTATAAACCTGCCATACAGTAACTAGGTCTATAATCTGTGGTAATACAGATATTATAAGCCAGACATACAGTAACTAGGTCTATAATCAGTGCTAATACAGAAATTATAAACCTGCCATACAGTAACTAGGTCTATAATCTGTGGTAATACAGAAATTATAAACCTGCCATACAGTATTTTAAATGGAAGTTGGAAATAGCTGCATTGTAGAAAATCCTTTCATGTAAATTCTACTGTGACAATTAGATAGCTTTCTACTTACCTTTATACTAGCCATCACAAAAGATGCAGTGATAAAGTACTAAAAAAATTGATTCACTGAACATTTCTGTTAATCCCATGCTTTTTGCTTTTCAACAAGGATATATCATGTTGTGAAAGTTTCAACCATTAAGGAATTTTTTCATAATACTTTCAGTTTTTTCAAGTAAAAAATATATGACAAGGTAAAACTACTGCAAGGCAATCCATAGTCCCTCACGAGTAATGATTTTTTTATCTAACAAACAGTACACTTATGTTAGGAAGCTTAGGTCACAGCGAGGTCATAGTGACCTACTTTTTGCACTCTGCCATCCCAAAATGTCCTTCCACACCAAATCTGGTTACTCAAGGTGAAACAGTATAGAAGATATGCCCTGGACAAAGTTAGTGAAAATCTTAATGGATCAAAGTTTTATGTAATATGGAAATTATAAAATCATTTAAATCTTTAAAGCACAGCATCCAAAACACCAGTGTTACTCACACAAATAACAACATGTGATAACTTTGACGGTATATATGTACAACAAATTGTTTCAAGTTAGTCACACCCAAAATAATTATAATAAAACAAACAAATCAAGTTTGTCACCAATCCTTGTCAGTATTAAACTGTTGTTCCTACTTTGAAATGACCACTTCTATGAGAGTAACCAGGATTCTCTGTGAACTACTATTCACTTTTGCTGTTTGACAGAAGTCTGAACTATTATTCACTATTGATGTTTGACAGGAGTCTGAACTATTATTCACTTTTGTTGTTTGACAGAAGTCTGAACTATTATTCACTTTTGTTGTTTGACAGAAGTCTGAACTACTATTCACTTTCGTTGTTTGACAGGAGTCTGAACTAGTATTCACTTTTGTTGTTTGACAGAAGTCTGAACTATTATTCACTTTTGATGTTTGACAGGAGCCTTAACTAGCATTCACTTTCGTTGTTTGACAGGAGCCTGAACTAGCATTCACTGAACTACTATTCACTTTCGTTGTTTGACAGGAGTCTGAACTATTATTTACTTTTGTTGTTTGACAGGAGTCTGAACTATTATTCATTATTGATGTTTGGCAGGAGTCTGAACTATTATTCACTTTTGTTGTTTGACGGGAGCCTTAACTAGCATTCACTTTCGTTGTTTGACAGGAGCCTGAACTAGCATTCCCTTTTGTTGTTTGACAGGAGTCTGAACTAGTATTCCCTTTTGTTGTTTGACAGGAGCCTGAACTAGCATTCCCTTTTGTTGTTTGACAGGAGTCTGAACTATTATTCCCTTTTGTTGTTTGACAGGAGTCTGAACTATTATTTACTTTTGTTGTTTGACAGGAGTCTGAACTATTATTCATTATTGATGTTTGGCAGGAGTCTGAACTATTATTCACTTTTGTTGTTTGACGGGAGCCTTAACTAGCATTCACTTTTGTTGTTTGACAGGAGTCTGAACTAGCATTCACTTTTGTTGTTTGACAGAAGTCTGAATTATTATTCACTTTTGATGTTTGACAGGAGCCTGAACTATTATTCACTTTTGATGTTTGACAGGAGCCTGAACTAGCATTCACTTTCGTTGTTTGACGGGAGCCTGAACTAGCATTCACTTTCGTTGTTTGACAGGAGTCTGAACTATTATTCACTATTGATGTTTGACAGGAGTCTGAACTATTATTCACTTTTGTTGTTTGACAGGAGTCTGAACTAGTATTCCCTTTTGTTGTTTGACAGGAGCCTGAACTAGCATTCCCTTTTGTTGTTTGACAGGAGTCTGAACTATTATTCACTTTTGATGTTTGACAGGAGCCTGAACTAGTATTCACTTTCGTTGTTTGACAGGAGCCTGAACTATTATTCACTTTTGTTGTTTGACAGGAGTCTGAACTAGCATTCATTACAGATGTTGCAAGTCTTAGAAAATAAAATACTATGCTATATCTCACCAAAACTAGTGTCTTTCTTGCTTTATATACCTGGTGCTGTCACAAGTAGATGTTCATGTAGATCTTAATTAATTAATACTAAAGTATGTGGTATTGACTAATCTACAAGCCATACGTGTTCTGTGAGACGTGGGTTCATTCTTTATCCTTTCCATTAACAGTAGTATGAGCCATGAGGACTTAAGAAATACTTTGCGACTCCTCAGGACGCCGTCACAACGAGGTTGTACTTTAAGGTATGCCCAAATAGCCCACCTGAATTTTAAGGAGCTCAATTAATCAAGAAACTTAGAATGTGTTAACACGTACTATCTATCAGTTTAATTATCTATCATTTTAGCAAAGATTCTTAAAAAAAAACATTCAAAAAAGTTTGTGCATTATGTTTTTCATTAGGACTGTTTGAATTTATAAGTTATACATGAAAGATACTTTAGTTCAGACTTACATACATTGCAAGTCTTGGGAAGAAAAACACTTGGTTATCTTTTACTCAAACCAGCGTGTTGGTGGATTGATCTATGGCATGTCACAAGCCTCTTAACACCCCCTATCCCTAATTTGTGGCTCAGTTCATTCTACCTGCCAACAAAATGTACACAAAAAATAAACTTTCTGGGAAAAAAAGGAAAAAAAATGAAAACATATTGATTAATAACTTATCATGTATCCTAACACAATAAGTTTAAACTTAGTTAAACACTGTAAAAAACTGAACACTTAAATCCATTTTGTTATTGACACGTCACTCAGCCTTACTTGAGCATGTCCACCTCCTGGTACATGGCGAGTGTTTTCCAGAGAACCTAATTTTGACTCTGTATTCCAGGAAACTGGCTCATTTATTATCTAAAAAGAACCAGGATAAGGGATATCATCTAGTTTTAAAAATCAATGTATTCTGTGTTATTTTCTTCATTTCCTAGGTCCCTAATTTTTGCCAATTTTCCAAAAAAATCTGCAATTTTATGCAACAAAAGAAACAAGAGACCCATGGAACCTGAAGGTGTTTACATGATTAATGTGGCTTTTTTCAACTTTCTAGCACTTTATAAAAACAATGGCTAGTTCTAAAACTTTTATTCTTCAGAGCGAGTCTTTTTAGTATTTTGACTAATCAACCTTACTTGAGCATGTCCACCCCCTGGTACATGGCGAGTGTTTTCCAGAGAACCTATTTTAGACTCCGTATTCCAGGAAACTCGCTCATTTATTATCTATAAAGAACCAGGATAAGGGATGTCATTTATGTTTGGAGAATAATATATTCTTTGTCTTTTTCTTGAACTAGTAATTACTAGTTGATAGTAAATGAATTTTAACATTATAATTGATGAAGCAAGTGATGTATAACTCAGTTGGAAACAACAAATATAGAAACAGAATTTAACATTTATGAAAATGTATAACTTATACAAAAAGTCTTAGAAGATAAAACACTATTACTTTTACTCAAACCACATGTGTCTTTATGGTTGGATATATGGCAAATTGTCACAAGCACATGTTAATATCCTGTCTATCCCTTATTCTTTTACCTTCAAACCAAATATACATATGTTTCTTTTTTATTCTAAAAACTCATTTACAACTTATAACATATGGGTTTGTAACTTATTTAATTTCCTAATACAATAAGTTCAAACTGTTAAAAAATTGTGAAAAAAATGATCACTTAACTAAATCCATTTTGTTAGACACATCACTCAACCTTACTTGAGCGTGCCCACCTCCTGGTATATGGTGAGTGTTTTCCAGAGAACCTAATTTTGACTCTGTATTCCAGGAAACTGGCTCATTTATTATCTAAAAAGAACCAGGATAAGGGATATCATCTAGTTTTAAAAATCAATGTATTCTGTGTTATTTTCTTCATTTCCTAGGTCCCTAATTTTTGCCAATTTTCCAAAAAAATCTACAATTTTATGCAACAAAAGAAACAAGAGACCCATGGAACATGAAGGTGTTTACATGATTAATGTGGCTTTTTTCAACTTTCTAGCACTTTATAAAAACAATGGCTAGTTCTAAAACTTTTTATTCTTCAGAGCGAGTCTTTTTAGTATTTTGACTAATCAACCTTACTTGAGCATGTCCACCCCCTGGTACATGGCGAGTGTTTTCCAGAGAACCTATTTTAGACTCCGTATTCCAGGAAACTCGCTCATTTATTATCTAAAAAGAACCAGGATAAGGGAAATCATTTGAGTTTTAAGAACAAGGTATTCTGTGTCCTTTTCTTCATTTGCTAGTAAACAGATTTAAACATTGTACGTGTAATGATTTTATTGTTCAAAGAGATCATACTGACAGAGCAAAATCAAATAAAGACAGTTCAGAAATGTAATAAGTATTAATGTTTATAACTTTAATTTAGAACTGTCGATATCTTCATCAAAATGCCTACTTGAGAATTCCCTCCTCAATTGGTACATAGAAGACATTTTCTATGGACCTAATTATTGGCAGGTATTTCCAGGAAAATTTCTTCAATGTTATTCTATAAAATGAAACATATACAGCTGTATATTCATTAATTAATAGCAAATTTTATTTTCTTCATTAAAGTACATAACTGTTATATAATACATTCATCTCTGAAAAGTCACTTGGCTTTATTTTAATTGGTTTATCAGACAAACAAACTGATACTAAAATGAATCCATGTTATTATATTTTGAGGCTCACTTTGAAAGACAGACACCTGCAGTTGTCATTGACCCTATATAAATCACATCCCTTTTGAAAATAATTTAATTATCATTACTGCTTATTGAGAATAACTAATGCATACTCTTTGATTCCCACCGCCAGGTACATGGCGAGCATTTTCCATTGATCCAACTTTTGACTCCTTTTTCCATGTGACTTTTTCATCTAATATCTAAACAAAATGGATGTTTGGAAAAAAATCTTTGTAAGATTATTTTGAACTTAAAATATTGTAAGGTTTTTGTTTCTGTTGTTCAAGATTGATTTTTTTTTTTATCTATTAATATAACGTCAACATTTTCTACTTTGATACACAGTATATTCCATGATTTCCAATTAAAGGTTTATGATGAGTTTTTTGCAGTGAACTAATTTCGTGTCTGTAAATATATTTTACAGAGTACCGTAGTCAATAGCTTACATGTACAAAAAGTCTTAGAAGATAAAACACTATTACTTTTACTCAAACCACATGTGTCTTTATGGTTGGATATATGGCAAATTGTCACAAGCACATGTTAATATCCTGTCTATCCCTTATTTCTAGCTCAGTTCTTTTACCTTCAAACCAAATATACAAATGTATCTTTTTTATTCTCAAAACTCATTTACTACTGATAACATATGGATAAATAACTCATCTTATTTCCTTATACAATAAGTTCAAACTGTTAAAACAAATGGAAAAACTGATCACTTAAAACCATTTTGTTATTGACACGTCACTCAACCTTACTTGAGCGTGCCCACCTCCTGGTATATGGCGAGTGTTTTCCAGAGAACCTATTTTTGACTCTGTATTCCAGGAAACTCGCTCATTTATTATCTATAAAGAATCAGGATACAGGATGTCATTTAAGTTTTAAGATCAAGGTAGTCTGCGTCCTTTTCTTCATTTGCTAGTTGATCGTAAACAGTTTTTAACACTGTACGTGTAATCATTTTATTGTACAAAGAGATCATACTGACAGAGCAAAATCAAATGACTCAGTTGAAAATAACAAATATAGAAGAGATTTAATAATTATCAATATTCATAAATTTGATTTAGAACTCTCAATATATCATGAACGTGTATGCTTGAAATTTCCTCCTTAAAATACAAATGTACTAGGTATCTTTTTTCTACAGACTGAAATGTTTGGCAGTATATTTCCAGAAAAATGAAACATACATACACACTACATAAAATGAATTTCTATTTTCTGCATCAACTTGATTCCATTGACTTCATCTTTTATAATTCCCTTTCCATATGCTAGTATATACTCAGACACAAAGACCGACACACTAGTATATACTCAGACACAAAGACCAACACACTAGTATATACAAAGACACAAAGACCGACACACTAGTATATACAAAGACACAAAGACTGACACACTAGTATATACTCAGACACAAAGACCGACACACTAGTATATACTCAGACATAAAGACCGACACACTAGTATATACTCGGACACAAAGACCGACACACTAGTATATACTCGGACACAAAGACCGACACACTAGTATATACTCGGACACAAAGACTGACACACTAGTATATACTCAGACACAAAGACGGACACACTAGTATATACTCAGACACAAAGACCGACACACTAGTATAGACTCAGACACAAAGACTGACACACTAGTATATACTCAGACATAAAGACAGACACACTAGTATATACTCAGACACAAATACCGACACACTAGTATATACTCAGACACATAGACCGACACACTAGTATATACTCAGACAAAAAGACTGACACACTAGTATATACTCAGACACAAAGAACGACACACTAGTATATACTCAGACACAAAGACCCACACACTAGTATATATACTCAGACACAAACACGGACACACTAGTATATACTCAGACACAAAGAACGACACACTAGTATATACTCAGACACAAATACCGACACACTAGTATATACTCAGACACATAGACCGACACACTAGTATATACTCAGACAAAAAGACTGACACACTAGTATATACTCAGACATAAAGACAGACACACTAGTATATACTCAGACATAAAGACAGACACACTAGTATATACTCAGACACAAAGAACGACACACTAGTATATACTCAGACACAAATACCGACACACTAGTATATACTCAGACACAAATACCGACACACTAGTATATACTCAGACACATAGACCGACACACTAGTATATACTCAGACACATAGACCGACACACTAGTATATACTCAGACAAAAAGACTGACACACTAGTATATACTCAGACATAAAGACCGACACACTAGTATATACTCGGACACAAAGACCGACACTCTAGTATATACTCGGACACAAAGACCGACACACTAGTATATACCCAGACACAAAGACCGACACACTAGTATATTCTCAGACACAAAGACTGACACATGTTGCCATTGATTACTCATAAATTTGTACACCTGATATCAGACTACAAATGTATCGTATCATTACTGCTTATTGAGAATAACTAACGCATACTCTTTGATTCCCACCGCCAGGTACATGACGAGCATTTTTCATTGATCCAACTTTTGACTCAGACACACTAGTATATACTCAGACACAAAGACAGACACACGAGTATATACTCAGACACAAAGACTGACCCACTAGTATATACTCAGACACAAAGACGGACACACTAGTATATACTCAGACACAAAGACGGACACACTAGTATATACTCAGACACAAAGAACGACACACTAGTATATACTCAGACACAAAGAACGACACACTAGTATATACTCAGACACAAATACCGACACACTAGTATATACTCAGACACAAAGAACGACACACTAGTATATACTCAGACACAAAGATCGACCCACTAGTATATACTCAGACACAAAGACGGACACACTAGTATATACTCAGACAAAAAGACTGACACACTAGTATATACTCAGACATAAAGACAGACACACTAGTATATACTCAGACAAAAAGACTGACACACTAGTATATACTCAGACATAAAGACAGACACACTAGTATATACTCAGACACAAAGACTGACCCACTAGTATATACTCAGACACAAAGACAGACACACTAGTATATACTTAGACACAAAGACCGACACACTAGTATATATACTCAGACACAAACACGGACACACTAGTATATACTCAGACACAAAGATCGACCCACTAGTATATACTCAGACACAAAGACAGACACACGAGTATATACTCAGACACAAAGACTGACCCACTAGTATATACTCAGACACAAAGACCGAACTAGTATATACTCAGACACAAAGACCGAACTAGTATATACTCAGACACAAAGACCGAACTAGTATATACTCAGACACAAAGACCGACAAACTAGTATATACTCAGACACAAAGACCGACAAACTAGTATATACTCAGACACAAAGACCGACAAACTAGTATATACTCAGACACAAAGACCGACAAACTAGTATATACTCAGACACAAAGACCGAACTAGTATATACTCAGACACAAAGACCGACAAACTAGTATATACTCAGACACAAAGACCGAACTAGTATATACTCAGACACAAAGACCGAACTAGTATATACTCAGACACAAAGACCGACACCCTAGTATATACTCAGACACAAAGACAGACACACTAGTATATACTAAGACACAAAGACCGACACACTAGTATATACTCGGACACAAAGACCGACACACTAGTATATACCCAGACACAAAGACCGACACACTAGTATATTCTCAGACACAAAGACCGACACACTAGTATATTCTCAGACACAAAGACCGACACACTAGTATATACTCAGACACAAAGACTGACACATGTTGCCATTGACTACTCATAAATTTGTACACCTGATATCAGACTACAAATGTATCGTATCATTACTGCTTATTGAGAATAACTAATGCATACTCTTTGATTCCCACCGCCAGGTACATGACGAGCATTTTTCATTGATCCAACTTTTGACTCCTTTTTCCATGTGACTTTTTCATCTAATATCTAAACAGAATGGATATTTGGAAAAAAAGTCATTGTAAGATTATTTTGAACTTAAAATACTGTAAGGTTTTTGTTTCCGTTGTACGAGACTGAATGTAAATTTTATTTATCTGTTCTTCCTATTAATATAACGTCAACATTTTCTACTTTAATACAAAGTGTATTCTATGGTTGCCACCTAAAGGTATATGATGAGTATTTTGCAGTGAACTAATTTAGCGTCTGTAAATATATTATACAGAGTAAGTCAGCAGATCCAGCCTACATGTATGACTGTATGTCTAGGATGATAAAACACTATGACTTCTACTCAAACCTGATTTTAAATAAGAAATAATTCAACCTACTTGGTAGAACAACGAGTACAATAAAACATCTCGGAATGCATGTTAGTACTGTTTTAATGAAACCAAGGGAAATAACTCTATCAATTATGGTCAGATAATTGTGATTACATTCAAACCACTGATACAGGGGGCATAACTCAGTAAATTACAGTCAAATGATGGTAGCTATTCAACCAGCTCAAACAGTAAATCAACTTACTACTAAGTTCAAAGTTAATCCGTTAAAAAATACTTGTGGTATATAGAACAGACACTGCTTCAGGAATTGATCAAAGGGGCATAACTCATTGGCAACAGTTTTAAATGTTTGAAACAATTAGACTTTTTTAATCTTTGACCTTGAGGTCAAAGTCACAATGAACTAATGATCATGTAGTGCACATCGCCTATGGGTGATTCAGGTATACTTCAAGTTTCATTGGAATATCTTAAATGGTGTCAAAACAAGAGGACCAGAGGGCCTGTATCGCTCACCTGAATATGTTTAAAATAATTGGTATGAAGTAAAGATATAGCACTCCATAGTAGGTGCTGTAAGTACATATGAAATTTAAGAAAGATCCATACAGTACTTGAGATATATCGAGAACAAACTTCAAACAGAGTCCCCCCCCTATGCCCCTAGGGGGGGGGGTCATACCCACCGTTTATAAAAAAATGAGCCCCCTTGCCCCAAGGATGCTCCAGACTAAATAAGGATGATATCCCTTATTATCCCGTTGGTCGAAGAAGGGTTTTAAAGGTTTTACCTCTATTTCTCTATAGGGCCCTGCCCTTCTGCCCCCTGGGAGACCACACCCAGTGCTTATACAAAATTGAGTCCCCTTGGCCCAAGGATGCTCCAGACTAAATTAGGATAAAATCCCTTAATCCCTATGGCAGAAGAATGATTTTAAAGGTTTTACCTCTACTTCCCCTATTGGGCCCTGCCTCTCTGCCTCTAGGGGGGTTATATATATAGACACATCATTTATACAAAATTGGTTTCCCTTCACCCAAGGATGCTTCATACCAAATTTGAACAAAATCCTGTCCTTCGTACAGAAGAAGAAATCCCTTTATCCCTATAGCAGAAGAAGGGTTTGAAATGTTTTATCTCTATTTCCCTATTGGGTCCCGCCCCTCAGGTCCCAGGGGGGCCACACCTACTGTTTATACAAACAAATTTCCCCTTCACCAAAGGATGCTTCATGTTTCCTCTAGTTGGCCCTGCCCCTCAGGCCCCTGTGTGTGTGTGTGTGTGTGTTGGGGGGAGGGGGGGGGCACACCCACCGTTTTTACAAAATTGGTTCCCCTTCACCCAACAAAATTGAGTCCCTTTAGGTATTTTAAAGGTTTATAAAATTCCTACAGAATAAGAAGGATTTTAAAGAATAATTTGCTACGGACCCACGGTTATACAAAATTGGTTCCCCTTCACCAAAGGATGCTTCAGACCAAATATGTAACAAATCCTTTCATTCCTAAAGAAGAAGAAGGATTTTAAAGAATAATCTGCTACGGACCCACGGTTATACAAAATTGGTTCCCCTTCACCAAAGGATGCTTCAGGCCAAATATGGAACAAATCCTTTCATTCCTAAAGAAGAAGAAGGATTTTAAAGAATTTGCTATGTTTCCCCATTGGGCCCCGCCCCTCAGGCCCCTGGGGGGCCAGACCCACCGCTTATACAAAATTTGTTTCCCTTCACCCAAGGATGCTTCTGATCAAATATGGAACTAATCCTTTCATTCCTACAAAAGAAGAAGGATTTTAAAGAATTTGCTATATTTCCCCTATTGGGCCCCGCCCCTCAGCCCCCAGGGGGGCCAGACCCACCGTTTATACAAAATTGATTCCCCTTCACCCAAAATTGCTTCAGACCAAAACTGGACCAAATCTTTTCATTCCTACAGAATAAGAAGGATTTTGTTTCTCCTATTGAGCTCCAACCCTCAGGCCCCAGGGGCCGGGTCAGACCCACAGTTTATACAAAGTTGATTCCCCTTTACCCAAAGATGATTCAGACTAAATCCATGCATGGAACAAATCTTTTCATTCCTACAAAAGAAGAAGGATTTTAGGGGCCAGACCCACGGTTTATACAACATGTGTTCCCCTTCCCCCAAGGATGCTTCAGACCAAATATGGAACAAATCCTTTCATTCCTACAGAATAAGAAGGATTTTAAAGAATTTGCTATATTTCCCCAATTGGGCCCCGCCCCTCAGCCCCCAGGGGGGCCAGACCCAGAGTTTATACAAAATTGAGTCCCCTTGGCCTAAGGATGTTCCAAACCACTAGTCCAAATCTACTGAGCTGTTCAGGACAAGTAGCGTTTTAAAGGAAAAGTTGATGGACGGACGGACAGACGGACAGATGGACGGACGGACGAGGGACACTGCGCCATGGCATAAGCTCACTTTCCCTTTGGGCAGGTGAGCTAAAAACATCCCAGACAAGATAGATCTGAAAAATTTGCTCATATTTGACCTTTGACTTTGAGGTCAAGGTCATAATGACCTCATGACATTGCACTGCACATCGTCTAGATATCCTAAATGTTTTAAAGTTACAGCCCGGATTAGATGATCTTGAAAAATTTGCACATATTTGACCTTTTACCCTGGGATCAAGGTCACAATGACCCAATGACAATGCACTGCACATTATCAATTAGTGATACAGGTTAATTTCATGTTTCATCGAGATACCTTTAATGGTTTTAAATGTACAGCCAGGACAAGATGTTCCCAAGATTTTACCTTTCAACTTTGTGTCAAGGTCATATTGATCTAATGACAGTGCACTGCACATCTTCTATGGGTGATGCTGGTATACTTCCACTTTCATCAAGAAAGGTTTCAAAATTACGGCCCGAACAAGATCATATTGGAAAAACAAGAACAAGAACCAGAAGAACCAGTGCTAATACTATTTGTCTCCTTTCTTTCGAAAGGGAAACATAATTAAAGCCATTTTGTTAGACACATCACTCAACCTTACTTGAGCATGTCCACCTCCTGGTACATGGCGAGTGTTTTCCAGAGAACCTATTTTTGACTCCGTATTCCAGGAAACTCGCTCATTTATTATCTAAAAAGAACCCGGATACAGGATATTATTTTAGTGTATTCTGTGTCCGTCTCTTCATTTACTAGTTGAAAGTAAAGATTTGAACATCATACAGATAGTTATTCTGTT